CTATGACTGACACCTTGCAGGGATGGCTGGAAGGCTGGCTCCACTGACAGCGGGAGCACCTCCCTGTGGCCTTTCCTATGGGGTGGTCTCAGGGTAGTCGACTCCTTCCATGGCAGCTTAGGGCCTCATGAAAGAATATTCCAGCCAGCAAGGTGAAAGCTACACGGTCTTTTATGGTCCAGCCTCATAAATTGCACTTTGTCACTTTCACTGTACTCTCTATTGGCTGAAACACTCACAAGCTTCTCCCACCCGCCTCCCCAGACTCAAGGGTAGAAGACATGGATCTCTCATTTCGATGGGAGGATTGTCAAAGAATGTGTTGGCCACATTTCTAAACCACTCCCTAATGTTTGGTTGCAGCCCTGTCTCTTGTGAAGGGAGGAGAACAAAGGAGCAGATGACCCTAGGACTTTATAATTTTACTCCGTTAGTCTCCGTTCTGAACTTTCGACGTTGCGTCCTCTCCCCCCAACAAATCACTGCAAGCCAGGCAGCTTCCCCGCTACTGTCTTCATCTTGTGACTGCGAGTTGGAGTGAGGACCCATATACCTGTCAGAATTGCCTGGTGCAGTAAAACCCACAATGACATACCCTTCGCTATTGCAAGTTCATTACGCAGGGTGAAAAATCACATCCGCCAAGGACACCGTCCCAGATGGCATTTCACTCTCCCACTGGAATCGACAATGCCCGGTATACAGGTGTATGCCTTGTCCCTGTCCCCACTGTGGGGATGGGCCCCTGCACAAACGACGCCCTGTTGTCTCTGCGGGAAGCACCGGCAGTCTGAACGCCGCCTCCTCTCCTGTCTCCAGGGCTGCTCTCCCTCTGAGACCCTCGCTGGCTCGCTGACCAGCTCAACGTGCCGGCAGGAGCTAAATGATGACCTCGGCAGCAGCCGAGGATTATTTTGGTTACATTACTCTCTGTGATTATCCAAAAGGGAAAACAAAAAGTCATTTAAACATGCAGCTTGTGCTCCTCCAGTACCACAAAAGATCTCCTGGAAATCTTTTATTTTTTTTTTAAATGACATGATAATGTTATGCTTTGTTTTCATCACTTTTATCATCATTTCTTAGCAGAGGCCCAAGTGGCTTGGCTAGGGTAAAAGGGGAAAAAATTACAATGATTCATTTGTATACATTTGTCTCAGTGGGGATTTGATGTGGAAATATAAGAATATTAAATTAGAGGCATTCACTACATTATTCTCCGTTGTATTTGAAGCCAGAAACAAGGTACAAACATGCTATGGGCCCCGAGAAAAGCCACAGCGCTTCAGTGGTTCATGAGCCTGAGCCAGAGCACCTTGGTTATTTCTAAACTGAGTTGACATGAGCTTTCTCCTGTTTCTAGTGTCACTGGAGTCTCTGTTTTAGTGAATTCTCTCTCTCTCTTTTTATTTTTTGAGACAGTAACTCATTCTGTCACCCAGGCTGGAGTGCACTGTCGTAATGATAGCTTTCTGCAGCCTCGAACCCCTGAGCTCAAGCGATCCTCCTTCCTCAGCCTCCCAAGTAGCTGGCACTTAATTTAGTGAATTCTTTACCTCGCCCTATCACCAATCAATTCCACCATTGAGGTCCCTCCCTTAAGGCAACACTCCCGCGGTTGTGGCGAGGATGGGATCCAGCAGGCCGCAGGCTCAGCTGTCCTATGTCTGCTGCTTCCCAACAAACCTGTCCCAGCAAAGTGTGCCCCATGCCTGTCCTTAGCAGCTCAGCCCCGGCATCAGAGCTGGCCAGCTCCAGAGGCCAGTGTATCCGTGGGGATCTAACCAGGAAACAGAAACCACCAGGGAATTTAACAGAAAGGCTTGGTGCAGGGATGGATTACACAAGGGCTGGAGGAGCTGCGAGGCCAGCCAGGGGGCGGGGAGACACCCAGCCCCGCAAAGACGGGAAGCTGACTCGGACTCCGCCGCCAGGGGAAGGGCTCCTGGAGCTCTGGGACGTGTCCCGTCTCTCGGCCATCAGGTGGAGGCTGGAACCACAGTGCACCTGCCTGGCAGCAAAGGGAGCCAGAGAGGCTGTGCAGCTGGGGAGGGGAGGGGAAGAAGCACCTATTTCTCCCTCCCTTTCCCGCCCATCCGGCCTCTCGTCAGTACCTCCCATCATCCTCCAACCTCAGAAAAGCGACCTCTAGGGGTCAGACCCCTTTGATTGACAACAGGGTAGAAAAAGGGCAAGAAGCAGATTCGAGGAAAACAGAGCCAGGACGTGCACTGCCAGTAACCCCGCAAAGCTGTCCTCGCTCAGACCTCGGTGGTCTCTCCAGGACCCTGCACACACGTACCCATCCTCCAGCCACGGTCAAGGGGCTCAGTCACTGAGGAATATTCTGACAACACTGACCCAAGCTTGCCCCACACCAGCCTTTCTCATTGAAGGCCCACCCGGGTCAGATGGCCCGGCTCCGCCCACCTGCCCCTCCAGCCGCCCACCCAGGGCCTTTCTCCTGTCCTGGCTCCCCCACGTCTCTGCCACCTGCTGCTGTTCCCAGGGACTCTCCAGTGTCTTTAGCAATTTGAAGCGGTCATAGATCCATATTTATAAACCTACCCCCAGTTCGAGTGGGTGTGGTCTGGGTTTGGTATCAAACACTCCTCTTTCTCACCGTGGAAATATTCTAGCCTTTTCTCTTTTCCAGCAGAAGGTGGTGTTTTGCCCTCATAAGGGGCCCAACTCAAGAGGGAAGGGAGTTAGACTCCACCCCTTTGTGGAGGAGCCTGTAGGATGACAGCTATTACTGTGGTCAGCTTTGAAAATAACAACCAGCCCCAGGCAGAGACATTATAGATCCCCTCCAGCCCAGTGGACAGCTTTTCTCAAAGACTCCCTCCCCCCTTCCCTCCCTTTTTATTTTCTTATAGTACCTAGACACAGGAAATTTAATCTTTGGGAAACTACATTTCTGCATACAGCTTAATTAGAGGTTAAATCCTGAAAGATTTAATGGGTCTTGATTTTGTCAGACTAGACCCTAACACGCCTTCACCACTAACATATTCTAATACATTAATGGAAAGAATTGAACTCAGTACCTACCCTCACGTTATGGACTGAATGTTTGTGTATCATTGAATTTGTATGTTGAGGCCCTGACCCTCAATGTGATGCTATTAGGAGGTGGAGCCTTTGGGAGATAATTAGGTCATAAGGATGGGGCCCTCAAAAATGTAGTTAGTGCCCCATAAAAGGGACCCTAGAGAGCTTCTGGCCCTCTTCTCAGCTGCTGCCCCAGAAGGGGGCCCTCACCAGAACCTAACCACGCTGGCACCCTGATCTTGGACTTCCAATCTCCAGAACTATAAGAAATAAATTTCTGTTGTTTATAAGCCACCCAGTCTATGGCTCTTTTGCTATAACAGCCCTAACTAAGACTCCACAGAAAACTGACTCCACTTGCCACCTTCCCCATGACTGTCAGGCAACACAACCATCTTCTAGGTATAACATTCTCAACCATAGAGTTTTTCTGCAACTGCTCATTTTTTCTCTTTGCCCATGTCATGGAGTGAACAGATGATCTCTCTTACCTAAGATAGGACCTACAGTGATCAAATAAGAGAGAGAGCTTCAGAATTAATTGCACTGGGCCTATTCGGCAGGGACTGGGAGCCCTGAAGCTGTGGTTCAGCTGGGGAGAGAGCCCTTGATAAAGCTGGAGGCGCCACAGCCAAAGGGTCCACCAGTCCTTCCTGCCTGGCTGCCTTGGTCCTTCCACAAAGAAGGAGGACAGAAAGCCAAGGAAAAGAAGTTTTTCTGATGTGATTCAGTTTCTACCAAGAGAAAGGAGTTCACAGGCAGAAAAGTGAAGACGGTCTTTCCTCTTGAAGTTAAGTATTCTACAGAGACTTGACAGAGGGTCACATCTTAATCATAAACTAGACTTCAAGATCCTGAGGGTAGGTTCAGGCAATATACCAAAATGCTCTGACCACCAAATAAGCGTTTAAATATCTGAATATAAGACAACAAAGACAAATTTAGACCAGTGGAAGTTTTTGTCATTGGTGCGGTGGTTTTCTGATTTTCTGAAATGGTGAACAACTCCTGACAACTGTTTGGATAAAGCAGAGTATAATCTTCTTCTCGACTGATGTGATCATGCAAAATTCAATGTATATTAAAACAATGCAAAAAGACTTCATGGAAATTTAAAAAAACGAATTAGACTCTAAGTTTTGATAATATTAGGTTTTGCACCTACAGAAATGTCCAGGAGAACACTCAGAAGTCATGAGGGATACAGGATAAATTTTTTTGTTGGCCTCTATCCACTAAATAGCAGTGGTACCCTCTATCCTTGTAACAACAAAAAAAAGTCCCCCTCAAATTTCCAAAATGCCCTCCACGGCATTGAAACTCATGCTCTAGAATGTTTATTAGCTAGGCTTTCTGAATGCTTTCTAAGGAATGGTTCTAAGAGCGTTACGTGTATGAAGTTCCAGGTATAATTATTATTTCCTTATCACACATGAGGAAACTGCGGCACGATGAGGCTACATCACTTCCCAAGGTCACAGACAAGGTTGCAGGTCAGGGTCAGAGGCAAGAGTCACCAGCCAGACCCCACATTAAGGACTACCACTCCCTAGCTTGGTTTACCTCCTCATTTGGGAGACTCTCCTTTTCAACCTGTTTCCTACTGACTGGTCTAGGCTCTGACAACATGGAAGACACCTCCAAATAATCAGGGGAAGCTCTGTTGACTTATTCTGTCCTGTTTCTCTTCCTAAGCATGAAAATCCAGCAACACGGTCTCAGCACCCCCAAAAGTGCGTTAGAGCTCAGCTCTTAGCTCACCCCCTCAGCTCTTTCTGAGCTTGCTTTTTGTTCATGGGTTGCTAACCTACTTTTTGTTCATGGGTTGCTAACCTATTGCATCCGTTCTGGCGATATGATAACTAAGCCAAGGCAAAGAAGCATAGCTTACTGCGTTCCCTGCTTTTCCAATTATCCCATTTGAGCCTCACTAATCTTATACTCACCTCTCCTCATCTCACGGAGCTCTTCGGTTTGCTCTCTCAGATCACTGGGTACGGCAATGATAACCTGCCTTCATTCCCGATGTCATCTCAAACAAAAGCCTGCTTCACCAAGTGGGGTGTTCCAGAAGTGATTAGCTCACCTCTCACCCACAGCTGCTCAGTGAGGGTTTCTGAGCACAGATCTGGAATGCAGAGCCTCCTTGCTCACTGCTAACCCTCTTTCAGCTCTGCGTTAGCAAATTCTAGTTGGCTTCCTGTGCAAGTTGCTCATAAACTCTGTTACATTGACGCTCCTAAATTAAGCTGTGGAAGACAAGGTCTCATTTTCCTGGGAGACTATCATTGTCAAGTACAAGTAAACATAAGTCACAAGGGCTTTTAAAATCTACTAGTTACCCTGGAAATGAGCTCCACTAGGCCCTACTCCAAGGACAACATGCAGCTGTATGAGATATTTTAAAGAGATATAAAAGCATCTGAACAGGATTATGCACACGATTTTAATTTTCATGTGCCCAATGGTTAGTCTATGGGAATTTTCACATCAACACTTTGGTGTTATTACTCTCCTATGGCTTTTCTCTGCTCCTATTCAAGTAGCCACTATCATTGAGCCCAACACTCTATGTCAAAGCAAGAAGAGAAGAAGAAATAAAAAGCAAGAAAAGAGAGAAGGCACAACACATCGGGTCTGTGGGGATTTGGAGATTTGTTTTGGAGATTATGGTTTTAATCCAACAGACCAAAGATAGGAGGTCTTCTTCCACACGGGGTCATCTGAAGCCCTAAGAGTAGACCCTGCCTTTTAAAAAGTACATTTAATTCAATCAAGTCACAATCAGAATCCATGATGTTTTCCTCAATCACCAACAAATCTAGGTGCCCATCAAAACAGACTCTGTTCTATTTCTCTTCTTTCCTTTCTTCTATCTATAGTTCCTTCAATTGTCTCCTGGACAGGAGAGGCATTAGTCTGATAGAAAAAGCCTTTCTCTCACAGGTCTAGTAGAGACATTGGTCATGCTACAGGGAGATATTCTAAGCTCATCCCACAGGAAAAGCAAGGGGAAAAATTTAAATGTATGTTATGCCAGGAAATAAAGTATTTTAATTCATCTTCCAAATGTTGTAAGTTCAACCTCTCTGTGATTAAATTGAGATTGAATAAGAAAAATGTGGTATTTTTTAGTTACTTCCCTTGTATTTTAATTCCTGTTCTCCTGCCTGCTGCACTCTTGTCATAATACGAGAAGACTTCAAAAAGTTTGTGGGAAAATGGAATTAAAAGATAAAAATAAATATTTCTCAACATAAGCTCCATCAACTTCAAGACATCTTTGTAAGTGATAATACCAGCCATTTAGTACATCCTGAAAGAACTAAAGGTCCTGGGAATTTAACCATGTCAATACAGTCTTTTTTACATTATTAACTGAAGAAAAACGGGTGTCCTTTAAAGACTATTTAAGATTAGGAATCAAAAAGAAGTCAGAAAAGGTCAAATCAAGACTGTAAGGTGGATGACTAATGATTTCCCACCAAAACTCTTGTAAACTTGCCCTTGTTTGATAAGAAGAATGAGCATTGTTATGGTGAAGAAGGACTCTCTGGTGAAGATTTCCTGGGTGTTTTTCTGCTGAAGCATTGGCTGAATTGCACAAAACACTCATCATAAGCAGTTCTTTGGCCCTCAACAAGTAAAATGCCTTAAGTATCCCCAAAAAACTGTTGCCATGAACTTTGTCCTTGACTAGTCCACCTTTGTTCTAACTAGACACTTCCACCCCTTAGTAGCCATTGCTTGGATTGTGCTTTGTCTTCAGGATTATACTGGTAGAGCCACATTTCGTCTCCTGCTACAACTCTTCAAAGAAATGATTCATGATCTTGATCCCACTTATTTAAAATTTCCATTGAAAGCTCTCATCCTGTCTGAAAGTGATCTGGGCACAATTGTTTTGGCATCCATATAGTCACAAGTTTGCTCAACTTTAATTTTTCAGTCAAAATTGTGTAAGCTGTACCAGTTGAGAGGTCTATGGTGTTGGCTATTGTTCCTGCTGTTAATTGTCAGTCCTCTTCCATTAGGGCATGAACAAGATGAATTTTTTTTCCCTACAAATCAATGTGATGGTCTGCCACTGTGGGCTTCATCTTCAACATTGTCTCATCCCTTTTTAAAACAAGTAATCCATTTGTAAGCTGCTGATTTATTTAGAGGCACATCCCCTCAAACCTTTCATAAAACATCAATGATTTTACCATTCTTTCACCCAGGCTTCTCTATAAATTTTGTTTGTTCTTGCTTTAATTTTGGCAGAATTCATGTTGCTCTGATAAGGGTTCTTTTCAAACTAATGTCTTATCCTTCTTAGTGCTTCAAACTAGATCTTGTTCAAACATGTTATAACAAGTTAGTATAAGTTTATTTTGGTGTGAAAAATGTTGAAGTCCATGCATAATTTTTTCATAATGTGCATTTTCTGGGAACTTTTTGAAGACCCCTCATAGAACTTAGTCTGGTAACTTCATATGTCACTAGTGTCTCTTGCCTTTGCCTCTTTACAAGCTCTGGTCACATGTTTTCTAACTACTTGCTGTCCATCTTAAGGATGTCCCTTAACACCACCAATGTGACAAGTCCAAACCTGAACTTGCCTCCCCTTAGTACAACCCTCCTGAATCCCCTTACCCTCCACTACCTTCAGCCTCCTTGATTCCATTCTTAACTGGAAATAATCCCACAGTATATTTGCTTATATTCTACTTTGTGACAGATACATGATACATCACAACACTAGACTGTAGGTAATTTCCTTAAGAAAAGAACCTGTGCTTGTTTCGTTTTTATATTCATCACATCATTTAGCAAATGCTTTGCACAATTGGAGTATTCACTAAATATTTATTTAATGAATGGAGTGGGCACTCAGGCTTTAGTGTTGTTGGCAGTGAAATCAAATGGACCCAAATGAATGAGGAAAAGCTGTAGCATTATTATGGCAAAGTCCAGGGCATGGGAAGGGAGAGCAATGTGTTTCCAAATGCCTTACACAGTGCTAGTCATCCCAAATGTTCAATAAGGCATAGTTGATTGACTGACTAATGCTCACTGCTTTTGGAAAGCTATTAAAGTGGTAAGGCAATGGCATTTTCTTTACATTAGTCCTAGAGGCTCAAAGTCAAGAGCCAAAACAAGAGGATATATTATATATACTTTTTCCTAGTGCCATGGACAACAAACTCCAAGTCCCTACCTCTACTGGACTGCCACAAACATATATAATGTCTATAAACTTTGGATCATCAGTACCAATATTATCATTATTATTCCCTTCCCCACTATACTTTGAACTTCCTAAGAATGTAGATCTAGCCACATTATTTATTAACTCATTCATCTTTATAACTATGATGCCTGGCACACTTGTGCTCAATAAATATGTATTGAACATCAAGTTCAACTTACTATGGAGCTTAATATAGATGAGGCTAAAAATATACATGTAAGGACACACAATTTTAAGAAAAACTATTAATCAGCTGTTTTTTAATGTTCACAGAAAATGGTCCTTGAATGAACATACTTAAACTAAAATTTAAAAATAATTAAATCAAAACACGTTTTTCTTTCTCTTACAGAATGTTCTATAGACCACCTGTATCAGAATTACCTGGGAGATACACACACACACACTCACACACACATACACACACCCACACTTTTTATGCATATACTTCAGATTTGTGTGTCCCCTCCCCAGAATGATTGAATATTATTCTTTGGGGTGGGTCTGAGAATCTACATTTTAAATATGTGCTGGAGGAATTAGTAAATTTGAGTATTAAAATTTCAAGACATTGGCCTAAAGTGACAAGTGAGAGAACCATCATGGGGAGAGTTGATACAACCCTGAGACTTAATTATCCAAAAGACCCAAGGAATTTTATCTTGGGTTATTTAAGCATACGATAGATCTCTGTTTGTCTCAGATGACTTAGAGCCAGGAAACTGGATGAGATGAACTCGAAAGATTCTTTCCAAATATGTAATACTATGAAAAACGTTTCTCATCATACCTCAAATTCAACATGCACAGGAACAAAATTGGGACCTCTCATTTCTCTGCTGGTGATGGAAATAACTAGTTTTTCTTCCCTTTCAGTTGTTTTTTATTCTGTTAATTAAGTCTAATATGCTTGAATGACTTATTAGCCACAAATAGAAGGAAACGACACAAATAAGCTCAATCAGGAATGAAAAAGAAGATATCACAACTCTTACCACAGAATTATAAGATATCATCTGTGAATACTAGGAAAATCTCTATACACATAAATTCAAAAATGTAGAAGAAATGGACAAATTCCTGAAAACACACAATCTCCCAAGACTCAATCAGGAAGAAATAGAACTCCTGAACAGATCAATAACAAGCAGTGGCATTGAAGCAGTAATAAAAAATCTTTCAACAAAAAAAGCCCTAGACCACATGGATCCACAGCTGGATTTTACGGACCTACAAAGAAGAGCTGGTAACCATACTGTAAAAATTTTCCATACATCAAGATGGAGGGAATCCTCCCCAACTCATTTTATGAAGCCAGTATCACCTTGATACCAGAGCCAGGAAAGGACAGAACAAAAAATGAAAACTACAGACCATTAACCCTTATGATTATAGAGGCAAACATCCTCAATAAAATACTACCAAACTGAATTCAACGGCACATCAAAAAAATAATCCAATATGACCAAGTGGGCTTTATCCCAGGGATGCAAGGATGGTTCAACATATGTAAATCAATAAATGTTATTCACCACATAAACAGAAATAAAAACAAAGACTATACGATCATCTCAATAGATGCAGAAAAAGCATTTAACAAAATTCAGCACCCTTTCATGATAAAAACCCTCAACAAACTTGTCATAGAAGGAGTATATATCAAAATTATAATGAGCGTAAATGACAAACCTACAGCCAATATCATACTGAATGGGGGAAGTTGAAAGTATTCCCACCAACTAAGAACTGGAACAAACAAAAGTGTTTGCTGTCACCAATTCTATTCAACATAGTGCTGGAAGTCCTAGCCAGAGCAATCAGGCAAGAGAAAATAATT